CTCTCTGCTGCTGTTCCTGAGATGAGAAGCAGATCTGGACCTGATTTACTGGAAAGCAAGACAGAGTTTTTGTGGTTCATAAATTAGTATCACTAAACAAGCATAAAGCATCAAAAGCACTCAGCATGGAGAAATTTACTGTAGCTCCACTGTGGTTTATGAGGGAAGACTGTTGCAACTGCTTCCCCTTTGTCTCAGCTCTTCCTGAGAACAGATTTGTGGCCTGCTGTTCTCTTCATGGAAATTGGGAGTTTGTTAACTGTTTCTGTTAAAGTCAGTAAAAGAAATTTCCCAAAACTGAATTCAACACATGCTAATCAAACTGTCTTTTCAGTGACGGGATCTTATTCCTTAAATCTTCAAGGGGAAACAGTGTGTAAGTAAAGAGTGGTAAAGAAAACTGTGACCACCTTTGGGAGGCAAAGCTAAAAGGAGCCCTCTGTGTGCAGGAGACCTAGTGCTCTGGCAAACCATATCCCACACTGTATTTGAAGAGCGTACCAGCAGGTTGGAGAAAATGACCCATCCCCTCTATTCTGTGCTTGTGAGACCATCTCTAGGGTACTGCATCCTGTTTGGGGCTCCCCAGTGCAAGAATGACTGGGACATACTGAAGCAGAGCAAGATCAGCAGAGGTTTTGCAGGATGGTTGGAGGGATGGAGCATGGGCTGAGACACCTGGGGCTGCCCAGTCTGGAGAACAGAAGGAGAAGGCATCTTACTGCTGTCTACAACTACTCATGAAAAAACAATGTCTTTCTATCATAAACCTCAACATCTTGCTTTACGGAAGACTCCCTCAAATGGAGTGAAAAGCATCTGTCACTGCATGAGAGATTACAGAAAGGATTTTTTTTTTACCAACTCAACCCTAACCTTGAGAATTTTTCACTAAAGCAGGTAAGGCTTTCCTTCAGATGGGAAGAAAATACTAAACATTGGAGTAGGACGTCTGCCACAGCAAAACAATTCTGTCCCTCTTGGAGGTATCTTTAAACTCATTCAGTGTCTGATTTGATAGGTGATTTCTTTCATTACACAGTCAATGTATCTGGTTTGACTAGATCATGGTTTATTTGACTTGATAGGTGGTATGTATTGGTCCGTAAAAGATGGATCAGCTTTGACAGGTGACATGGCTTGTAGCTCAGTCAATAACATTGATACTTCCATGAGATGTTCACTTTGGACAGTGATGTACCATTCAGTACAGCCTACCAAGGGGCTGTATGCTTTAATCATTATAGGGTGTATCTACGGTATGTAAGCAAACATACTTTTTCTCAAATACTGAATTATGAAGCCTCAAAGTGTCTTCCTCATTACCTTTGTTTCAGGTTTGTTGTCAGAAGTAGAGTATGTAGCATCTATTAAGAATGAATGCACTGTGTTGTTATTTTTGGTTATTACAAATTTTCTTAATGGTGTTTGTTGCCCATGTCACTGTGCCACGTTTGTTACATGTAAGCTCTTTAAGAGAAACTTTCACTTACTCGGTGCTGTGTTAGGCTAAGGTGATCTTTTTTTTTGATACAATTTTTTTTTTCATTATTTATAGAGCTAAAGAAAAAAAGTTTCAGGTTAGCACTTGTAAGGCTGTACTTCATGTATAATATCACCTTCTAGGCCTTGTTTTCAAAAGTGATAAAGATTAATTGGGGGAAGTACAGAGGAAAATGAAAAGAGGTCAAGAAAAGCTCATGAGGTCTAGAGACTGTGAGCTGTGTAGAAAGGCTGAAACATTTGGGGTTGGTTAGCTATGGGAAAGAGGAGCAAAGAAGGAGAAATGATAGCAGTCTACGTATGTGAATGTTTGCTATGAAAAAGAAGGCAATAAAATGTTCTTATCAACTGAGGATGAGAGGAAAGTAATTGATTTAAACAACAAAAAGGATAACTTAAGTTAGATATTAAGAAAGGCTTTCTTAATATCTAGGATGATATGAATATGGTGAGATGACATTGGATCCTGTTCTCTGGTGTTGACTTCTTGCTTAGTAAAGGCACTTCCTCTGTACACCTCAAAATACATTGTTTTAACAATGAATAACATTAACAGTGATGACAATTCTGTGTTATTCCTGTTGCAAACAGACAGTCAGCCTTATTTGTGGATATTTATCTAGACTAGGTTTATCGCTGGATTTCTTAACTATTGGTGGATATGTACTCTTGACAGGAGCATGTGGAAGAGCTTGACTTGACTCCCAACCTATGTGGGCTCATGTTTGCTAGCAGCAAAATTGTACATAGAATTTACTGAGATACAGAAAATTTAGAAACAGGTTTCTTCACTTTCAGGGTATAGCTATACAAGAAGCTTTTCATATATTTGAAATCATAGTGCTGTCATTTTTTTTGCTCTTGACAGGTAAGTTTCCTGCATGACTAGAGTGTACTTAGCATGTAGCCTGGAGCCAACCCAGGCTCAGGCCAGGCAGTCATTTATATGCATATGCACGTGCTAATGTGTTGTGATGTAATTGTAATTCCATATCATTTTAAGGGTTCTGAGAAGATGGCCACAGCACCTTCCTGTAAAAACACAGCGCTAAGAAGAGCCCAGTTTCTGTGTTGTATGATGCAAATGGTAAGAGATAATATCATGATGAGCTCTGGGGAGAAGCAGACATCCCTAGGTGCCTACCAGGAAGAGGCCTTGAGAAAACATAATTTCTCCCATGAGCTCTGTAAGTGAAAAACTAATAGTGGAGTGGGTGGAGTAGCAAAGTATATTTTAAGATATTAAACAGTAAGTAAAAATATTGCTGTAATAATACTAAGATAGGCATAGACTACAAAACCAAAGAATTATAGCCTAAACCATAATTACGCCTCTGAATGACAATTCTAGGATGTGACCCCCTTGTGTAATATTTTTAGAGGCACAAAATATTTGCAATGAGTCAGTTGGGACACTTCTGCCAAAACCAGTCAAAGTCTAATTACTCATGGCAAATCCAGTACATTATTAGAGAAAAACACAACAACAAAGAGAATAATATCTGTTATAAAGCAGAAATCTCTGACACGCACCACAGGGGCTTCAAAGGTGCATGAATGGTATAGATCTGGCAAGTGGAAGAAGGAAAAGGGAACAATTTTGCTCTTCCAGAATATTTGCTATTGTTTACTGTTCCCAAAACTATACATCACTATATAACCTCAGTATCTATGTTTCTCTTGACATCCTTTTTCTCTCTCTTCAACTGGCATTAACATAGTAGCAATGAATTTGTATTACAAGGTTTCCTGGGAAGACAAAAACATTACCTCACAAGCTATCCGAAATCAGACAGACCCCTTTCTGCCAATCTTGCAAAGTCAGCTTATGAGGAAGGTACAGAACAGGAAAAATGAAGAGTGGCATCTCTTTGTACCGACCAGATGGAGAGAGAAGTGACATGGGAGCAGACATTGCCTTCGCTTGGATTCTGCAGCTGGCAGCAACCAGAAAGGTACAACTTTCATCAGTGCTCTTTGGTCAGTGCCTTTAAAATCATAGAATCATAGCATAGTTTGGGTTGGAAGGGATCTTTGAAGGTCATCTAGTCTAATTCCCCTGCAATGAGCACAGACATCTTCAACTAGATCAGGTTGCTCAGAGCCCCAGCCAACCTGACCTTGAATGTTTCCAGGAATGGGGCATCTACCACCTCTCTGGGCAACCTGGGCCAGTGTTTCACCACCCTCAGTGCAAAAAATTGCTTCCTTATATCTAGCCTAAATCTACCCTCTTTTAGTTAAAAACTATTTATTACCCTTTGACCTATTGCAACAGGCCCTGCTAAAAAGTTTGTCCCCATCTTTCTTATAAGCTCCCTTTCAGTACTGGAAGGCTGCAGTAAGGTGTCCCTGGAGCCTTCTCTTCTCCAGGCCGAACAACCCTAACTCTCTCAGCCTGTCCTCAAAGGAGAGGTGCTCCAACCCTCTGATCATTTTCATGACCCTCCTCTGGACCTGTTCCAACAAGTCTGTGTCCTTCTTATGTTGGAGCCCCAGAGCTGGATGCAGTACTGCAGGTGGGATCTCATCAGAGCAGAGTAGAAGGGTAGGATCACCTCCCTTGACCTGCTGGCCACGCTGCTTGTGATGAAGCCCAGGATGTGATTGGCTTTCTGGGCTGCGAGCACACATTGCTGGTTCATGTCCAGTTTTTTGTCCTCCAGTGCCCCCAGGTCCTCCTCAGCAGGGCTGCTTTCAATCCCTTCATCTCTCAGCCTGGATTGATATGGGGAGTTTCCTCAAGCCAGGTGCAGGGCCCTGCATTTGGGCTAAATCTTTCTTTAGAAAGATTTGGCTTTTCCAGATTCACCTGTCTGTTCTGTCACGTCTTGAGGAGAATTGTTGTTGCTGCACACCAGGAATGTATTGTTTGTTTTGCATTCATTACTTCACATCCAAGAGAATGGAGGAAAGGGAATCCATAAAAAACCAAATTTCTTCCACTTTTTTTTCACTGTCTTTAGCCCTAGGGTCAGCATTCCATTCGTCAGCAATATGCTTTGTGATCTAAAATACTGGTGGCAGCAAACAAAAGGTAATCCTTGCTGATCATGTTAGTAGGTTTGCATTTCTACAAGGAAGAGACTGTTCGCTTACACCCATTGTGGATTCCATCATGGGATCCTTCACTTCTCGATTATTTCCCTTTAGTGCATTAGTTGTCTTTTAATTACAGTTAATGAAGCTGTGCAGGATAAGCATTGGCAAGTGGGAGGAAGGAAAAAATTGATGTCTGGGTTTGTGACCGGGTTTTTTTATATTATTTACACATAATATCGCTAAAGTGTCTCGTAAAATGCAGTGGGAGGTATTGATGTGTCAGGAATAGTAATTGGTTCTCCAATAAAACGAACTGTTTCTCACAGTTATATGTGCACAAGATAGTCACATTTTCTCTTTTTTTATTTTATTTTTAAACAGGAAAAAAAGTTACAACCATTTTTGATTGTTTCTAAAATCCTTACAAGGCTTAGACCATGACATCCTTTCCACAGATACAGCACAGCAGAGAACATTCCTCTTCCTGCCTCTCACTCCTGTCAAGCACCTCCAGTCTGGCCTGGGAAGTTTCTGCACCAAGAGACCTAGTCGCTATTTTCCCTTAGGTACGTACCTCTGAGGTAGGGAGGCTGTTCAACACCTTCATCATGACAAGTCAGGAAAGGTGCAGTATCTGAAAAGAGCTGCCAACCAACCCAGAGTAATCACTGCTCCTAAATCAGACAGATTTTGCCTTCGGATGGATTAGTCAGAGTTGGACATTTCTACTTCATTTACCACTCACTGCCAGGTGTACTGATACTCTCCGTGATGTGGGAACCTCCCTGGTGAGGACTGGACTGGGGTTCCTAGACTTCTTTCAGAGAGCTCCAAAGTTTTGTTTTATCAAAGGCATGAGGGGCTGCCTTACATTTTGGAAGGGTGCAAACTATTAGAAGTTGTGGGAAAAAACAGATAGATAATGTGTAGAAAAAAAATAACTTTTGTGTATTTTGACAGGTTCAAAGTCAAGAAAAGCTTCTTGGAAACTGTTAGCTTGTGGAATAATCTCTCAAAGGAGTAAATGTGATACACATAATACGATGCTGGGCATTGCCCTCGAGAACAGTTAGTGAAATGATCCTGTCTTCTTTAGTCTAAACATAGCAAAAGCAACTGCATAGGATGCTTCAGTGACAGACCTGTTTCTGGTGTCACTGTCTTTGTGAAATGTTTCACAATACATAGAAGAAAAAACCTATGCAGATGCTGCAGAAGCGCAAATAATGAATCACAATATTTGAAATGAAAATGATTTTGAGACAGTTTATGGAAGACATCAGGAAAGAACTTGGCCCCCTAGGTGTCTTCTCCTTGTTTTTAATTCTTGTTTGTATTATACTGTCTAAAGATAAAAGAAGCTGAGTCTTTGATGTAGCACTTTTGTCTTTCAGTGTTTCGAGAACTGAAATCTCATTATTTTTCCCAACTGTATTTTCTAATGTGAAAGCCCCAGAACCTCTAAATAATTTACACTCCTTTTGAAGTTTCTTTATCAGCTTCACTTCAGCAGTATTCAAACAGAGATCAGAGGCAAGATGAATCTTCTTGTGATACCCTTTGATTGTAAGGTATGACACCAGAATGTTTGAAATGTGATAGGAACGTTTCAACGGGTCAAAGCGAAGTGTAATACGGTAGCATCCACATTTCCTTCTTTATGTTACCTCCCTGCATTTAAAAGTTCCCTGCATCTTTTAAAGAGGGAAACTCAATTTCACAAGTGCTGACACATTAAACAGGCACTACATTGCTTGGAAAGATGTCTTCATTAGCTTTGCCTCACTGGTAAGCAAAATTAAATGCCTGATGATGACCCAAATTCAGCTCAGTTCTGAATATCATGGACTAGCTTATACTGCATTAGAAAATTACCAGGTGACAGAAACACTGAAATTCAATTTGAGTATTTCATGAGCTCACTCTTCCTGGGAAAGGGAGACAAAAGGACTGCTCTGTATAATGTGAACAGGGAGCTTTTTCCTATTCCCCTGCCCCAAGCCTTATCAAAACAAACCTGTCAGAAGGCAATCAGCAAGTGTGAAGCTCTGTGCTGTTCATTTTTGAGTCCTGACTCTGTGACAGTCATTTGCAGCCCTGTCATGAGTTTGCTTTGGCACTGGCTCCAGGATTTCCCCAAGGAAGGGAGGTGGAGACATACTGCCTCAGGTAAAAACAGCAGAAAAAAGCATCAAATTAGGCAGGGCTCATTGCCAGCTAATATTTCCCAGCACAAAGCCATCAAATTGTTTTTTTCTTACTCCACGGCCAGAGGCTGAATTTCACCCTGCCACAGGAGAGACTGAGGTCTCAACTATGAGGACAACCATGGCTGCAAGGCTACTTAAAGCCTAACCCTTTGAAATGAGGGTCGAATTTACACAGAGCACCCCAACAAATGCTTGTCCAACTCACTGACAAAAACCTTGCAAGAAAACAATCCTACATCCTCTTTGGGCATCTTGTCAGTGTTGCCTTTCCTCAGCAGTTAGAATGATGATCCTAACTGGAACATCTATTTCTTTGTTTCTAATTACATTGATTGCTTTCTTTAATTTTTTAATATACTCTTTGATTGTTCTCATGTTTTATTTTGGTATTCCCTTTTCTGGACTAAACAGATCCATTCCCTTTAAATTTCCTCAAAGATTTTCATCATTATTGGTCTCCTGTGACCCCCAGAACTGCTACAGCCCTTCTGCATTAAGCCTTCTTGCCACCATCCTTATCTCCCCCAGCTCCCCAGTGGCTTCCACACTATCCCTGAATCATCTGCTGTACTTGTGTTGTCCTGTCGTTTGATGTACTTTTGTCATGTATCACGTTTTATAATTTATCCTTTCTGATTTTGTTCCTTCTGTACTTTTGTTATACTTCTGTGTTCACACTTAGTTTGGTTATTTTTTTAATTTCAGTTCCTGATGCAATTATGATGACTTTTTACTACAGCTGCTTCTCTTTTCCTCATTAGGGTGGCTTTTTATTGTGTGTTATTATAGTGAAATTGCACTCTCTAATCCTCCTGATTACCTTTCCTGCAGAACCATCTGACAGATCCCAGAATTTAGTGAAATCTGCTTTTCTGATGTTTATGGTCTTCATTCAGCATTTTTACATTTTCTGTTCCTTCACAGATTGAACACTATCCCTTCAACCCAGCGATAGGGCAGGTCAGTATCTGACAATATGCTCTATTTGCACTCTAAATGATCCCTTTAGCACTTCAACATTTTAAAGATTACACCCCTTAGAAGATTTGGTTACATATCAGGACATCCCAGTGGTTATGTCACAATCTCTGCAGTTCATTCAGCTACAGCTTTCACCCAAATTGTATTTAATTCTATCAGTTCTTCCCCACTAGCCAGACCCAAGTCTGAAACAAATGCTCTGAGAAAGACTTTTGAAATGTAAAGTTGTATTTAACATGGTCCATTAACTTCCTGCAATGTTTTCCCAATATATATCTAAACAATGAAAATCCACTCCCTTTTCCCACTACCACTGTTTACTCTCCTATTAATTACTTCTACTGGTTGTTTGAAAATGCTTCAGTTACCACCTCCTTCTGTAGCCCATTTGTGGCAGAACCTTATCATGGTCTAGCTCCTGCTTTTTCTTCTTGCAAGCCAGAGCTACGTCAATGTTTTTCCCTCTGCCTATGGGGTATTACCATTTGGTGTTTGCCTCTAAATATTCTAGACAAAATTAAATAATTCTATTCCCTACTATTTTGTAGAGTAGGGAAGTAATTTGGACTCAATGCTAAGATAAAAGAACTCCTGAGATCTGGATTCTGCTGTGAGCTTACAATGTGGTCTTTGGTCAGTATTTCGGAACAGTTCTGCATCACACACTGCTATGGAGATCTCCAAGCCAGAACCAAGCTGATACAAACATACGATACAGCATACAGCACAGCAAAGGGATGTGCTGCCACACACGTTCTGCACTGGAGCCTCTGCAGGCTTGTTCTTGAGATACTCTTGAGCTGGTGAGGCTTGACCATTGAGAGCTCACCAAGGGATGGCTTATGGGGAACGTCAGAACCTGTGTTGCAGATACACTCACAACCTCTGTGTTCTGGTTTGTTTTTCCAGTTGTAGCCTAACAGTATTTGTAAAGCATGTTGAAGGAGTGCTCCATTAACATTTGTGCTGTGCTTTTATAAATCGTGCTTATTTTATGAACCCTCTGCCTCACTTAGATAACTCCCCTACCATTTCTTCTCTCCCCCTTCTGCCCCATTTAGAGGGCTACCTGATTGCATATTTAATCTCTTTTTCTCTAATGTGTGAAATAAGACAAAGAATGAAACTAGATCAAGAATCCTGGCTCTTTCAAGTGTGTATCAGGAAAATGAGAAGGTAATATGCTCTCCTGCTCTTTGAGAGCTTGTAATATGCCTCCAAAGAGTCAGCTCTTCACAGGCAGGACTCACGGGTATTGGGAACTATTAGTAGGACAAGGTATATATACTACAGTATTTGGAGAAAATATGGCATTAACAGCAGCTGTGGCATTTATGGTTGAAATTGCCTGTTGGTGTTTTCCATTTTCCAGAGAAGGTGGCGTACCAGGGGTTTGAGTGGCAGCCCAGCTCTTCTGGCAGGCATGCTTGAAGCTGAAGTCCACTTTAGCAAGGAGAAAGAACGTGCTCACCTGGGCTGGTAAATAACGATTGATCCCCATTCAAGGCAGAGGACTGATGGTAATTTCTCAAAGACCTGTGCAGTGCTCTCTTCTTCTGGATGTTTGGTTATCTTCTAAAATGTGAGTCTATACATGTTTCACAGTGTCATCCCTTTTGCAAACTAATTCCCCTGAGAACTCTGGCTGGGACCATATAATTCTCCTTCTCAAGGCCATATACCCCCTTTCCAGTACTTTTAATTAGCATCTTGGTGGTTATGTCATGGATTATGGTTCTTAAAAATATGTTGATATTCCAGACGCAGAACTGAATTCACATTGTGATGGCTGATTATATTGTTTCCAAGTGTGTACAGAGTGTGTCAATGTCAAGGAATCAAATGTGCTGTGACAGGAGACACACCGCAGAGCTCACTGCTCACCTCAGACAGTTTGGCTGATCTAAGGACAGGTGAAAAGTCTGTCTGGATGGAGTAAGAAGGTTGTGTTTATTTCCATTAGAAATGTTTTAGACTGTTAGAAGCTTTTTCATAGACATTTAACTCTTGGTGATAGAACTGGAGGAGACAGCTTTTCCTTTAGGACTAGAGGAGGCTACTGCAGGCAAAGTCCCCTGTGAACTGGGAATTCTAGCCTTAATGGCTGTGATCTTTTACTCATTCCTTTGTATCAGCTAAAGTAAATTTGGGGAGGGAATAAATATTTCCAAAAGCCAAGAAAATTCCCCTCTTGGGTTTTCAATAATGTACAAGTATGCAGCATTTTCTGGTTTTGCCTTCCTCTCAAATTAGTGCCTCTTAAATGAGTGCCAAGTGCCAGATCCATCATGAATCTCTCTGTTCTCTGACATGCAATAAACTGATCTTGAGCCATTACCTGAGCAGGCAATCTCTAAGACAAATGGTTCTGTAGCAAAAAAGAACTTAGAGGACTGTATTAGGAAGAGAGGGTACGTTGTTTATCCCTTATTGTAATCTACCTGTTACAGCAATAAAGGGTCAGGGCCAGGGCTGCAAGAGATGTTTTGATGCCTGTGATATATGTGATATATCTTCACCGAGGGGAGACAAGCCCTTACTGGTTCCTTTCCCACTTCTTCCATCTCGCTGCCAGCTCTTCTCTCCCAGCTTCTTTCTAGGCTGGGAATGGCCGGTGGAGTCCCACTGCAAACACAGACACCAGCCCCATCCTCCCTATGGGAAGAGTCACTGGTGGGGCTCAGGGGGGCAGTCCAGGCAGATTAAGGTCGTTTCAGGAGCCAGATTTCTCAGTCTGCCTTTGTTGCCACTTCAGTTGCACTTTCAGCTCACAAAAATGAGACAAAAAAATGTCAATTTCTTTAAGATTTACAGCAAGGAGCTGGCTGGGGCTCCCTGGAGAGTGCTGACTGCTACAGGGCTCAGCACCCGTCCTTCCCTTGGTGGAGACTAGGGGTGAAGTAGAAGGCAATGTTTTTTCTCGTCTCTATGTTCAGATCCTTCTGCATTTGTCCCCTGTGTCAAAGTGATTTGGATTGTTTGCTTGTAAAGCTGCAGTGCCAGCAGTACAAGGAGAAGCTTCTTGAACTTCAGAAGCATTCTTCCCCATTAGAATTAAATTCTACATGAAGCTAAAGGCCTCAAACGTTAACAATTTGAGCACTATTATAGCTCATCTGTGTACTAATGATACTGAAGGAACATGCTCCTGAATGAATCCCCTTTTGGTAATTCAGTCCAGCCAGGCTTTACCTGAAAAATTCAGCACCCTTGGCCTCCTTTATGATACGTTTGACAGCAGGGGTCTGCCAAAGATAATGCACTCTGTCTTCAGATAGAATACCACGTGTCACTGTGGCTGATTCTTCATTAAGGGAACTAATTGCCCTGTGTGACTGCAACCTGCTGCAATGAGGGAACAGTAGGGTAAAACTGGGGTTCAAAGGGAATAGCGTTTAAGTATGTTAAAATGCAGCATGAAGCCAATGTCACCATCCTTTGAATAAATGTAAGATTTAAGTGTGGTATCAGGGATGCAAAGCTAAAAATTGGTCCTGCATTGCCTAAGGTATCTAAATACAACATATGGTAAATAAGACTGTACAGATACAAGTCCATTTAAAATCCTTTTTGGCAGCAAGATTCAATTGTCATGTTTTGTTAGGTCTGTTTGGTGAAGCAAAGGCAGAGCTTATGCACACATGCAGTGCAACAAAGGATTTCCTACTATGCCCCAGGAAAACTGACAAACCGAACTACTCTCTAATTGAGTTGTGTTCCACTGTACTGAAAAATGCGGTCTTTTTAGCAAACAGCTTTAGAGCTAATTAAAGTGCATCTCAGGCTATCATAGCTTGTTTTTAAGAATAATGTTATACAACCATGTTTGCAGTTTTAGCTGGGTGCTACAATGTCTGCCCATAGCAATAGCAAATCATGACATAATCTTTTTAAGTGGTCTAGATATTCTTGATGAGAAAGCCATACCATAAGGCTGGCAAGGCAGATAGTAGATCTCAAGTCAAACTCTGCATCATCACCACTGCAAGACAGAAGTGGGTCTAAAATACTCATTTTACAGAATAGTCACAGAGCTATATAAAGCAATTTACATCCAAAATGCATTTTGAGGGAAGAAGGGGAAACAAAGCTTAGTATTTTGTAGTGCTGTAATAAAAGCTTAGATAGTAAAATAAAAATAAATAATTGGTTTTCCTCATAAATTATTTGCAGCTTAAATAGTATAAAACCATGGTGTTCCACAAACAAGGCAGTGAACTAGAGAGAAAGCAGAAGTGAAAACTGAAGAGTGTTTTTTTTCCCTTTGTCAAGCTTAAGAAATGCAAATGGTAAATTAATAGCCTGGAGACTGAGGACATTGCAGTGATTAAAAAGATCTTTCTAGAACAAAATTCGATAATGTTTTGGATGTCTCTTGCAATACAGATGCTGTTGCAATGAACCTCACACTTCTCCAAGCAGGGAAGCAGGTTACAAAGCTCTGCCAGGTAAACAGGCAATTTCTCTCTCAATATTTCTATAAAGACTGGTTTTGACCTCAGGATAACTCAGCCAAATTCTCCACTGAGATAAGAATAGGAAGTAATATTTGTTGGCATCTAAAGGAATCCAGTAGTGGATTCTACGGATGCTCATGGTTAGATCACACAAGCAGGACAGCTGGTATATGCAATAGCCCTTTAATTCATTATTCCTTTACCATCTACCCCTTAAATCAAACTTCCAGATTGCTTACGAGATATAACCACTTTCTGTACTACTGATAAATATATCGCATCTTCAAAATATAATGATGGGTACTACTTTCCACTGCCATTGTATGTAATGAACACTTCTTTCTCTAGACTAGTAGGAATTTATACGCACAGACAACAGTCAGCAATTTGCCATATTACTTAAACCTCATAAAGAAAGATGGAATGAAGCTATGTATTTTTGTGTCATAGGAACAGAAAACAGCTGAGTTCACTGTCACCAGTATTGAACAATGATGCCGCTAAATCCAATTTTTTACAGAGAAAGGTTTATTCCAGAAGTCAGTGTGGAAATAAAGATTTTTTGAAACATGAGCAATTCACATTTATTTTTCCCCCAATAATTGGTCTGCAGGGTATTCCTGAAGTGAGCAACTACATGAGACAAATAGGAGAAAATCAATTTTTGAGACACCGCAGATAGAAGTGTGTAGCGGCCAGCACTATATGAATAGCCTAATGAAAGTGCTGTTCTCTTTCTCAGTGAAAAGACAAAAATTAATGAAATTTGATGCCAAGAAAGCCAAAGTGATGATGTACCATCGCTCACTAAAAGGTGAACTATGAGTAAGTGCCTTGTATTTTCACCAGTGAGAAAGAGAAGTTCAGCCAGGAACCTCTTGGAGACTATTAGTTGGCTGAACTTGCTGAACATCACAGTAAAATACCTGTAAACCTGACTGAATCATGTTGTTACCATTAGCAATCCTCCTTGAGCATTTTCAGGGGATGCACAAGACACCGTAAGACTGGGACAAGACACACACAGCACCCAACTGCAGTTCTCAGAAGGCAAGTGGTTGTCTCCAAAGAAAATAATCTCTCTCCCTGGTGGACACAGCCAGAGGAATTAAGCTACGCATTGCCTGGCAGGGGATGGAGCTTTCCTCATTCGACACTTCCAAGAAGAGATTGGGTTAAGGTAAAACTCCTGTTTGGAGGGTCACTGGTGTAACTAGTTGTATTTAAGCAGCTGCCTGGACTAGATTATTTCCTGAGATCCTTTCCAGCTCTGTTTCTCTACGATCCTCATGCTCCATAGAATTAAACAAGTAGAGAAGTCATTGTGGTTTCAAAGCATTAATTATTTTGTTATTCTAATGAATAGAATCGTTGCAGCAACTGACCAGTCTGGATTCACCCTGTAGAGATGTCTACCCAGTGCATGTAAAATTTATGTGGATGATAAAAGATTAACATTGCTTTGAAGTTACTTTATGGCTTCACACAGCAATGCAATACCCTTTCAAAACTTTAGATAGAGGCTACAAAGACACAATTCCATTATTTACACAACTGAATTTAAAAATCTTAAAATGACACGGCCTCTTTTGGAATTTACTTGTTTTACTTAATGGGCCTCGACATAAAAGCATTTTTGGCAGGTACACGAATCATCATTCAAGTAAAAGACTGATTTAAAACAGCTGATATTCTTTCCACCACCACCTGCTGCAACAGTGCAACACCATACTGACAAAAATGCATATAATTCACAGCACACAGGCTGAAGTACCTACTATTTTTTCTTCCAGAGTTTAAAGCCCCAGAGCAAAGCTGATTCTCCAGGTATTTCTGCCCTTGGCATACACTTGTATTTCCCCCAGCTCTCGCAGGCTGAAGGAGTGAAAACATGGCCAAATGGTTCAGCCTTGGAGATGAAACCAACAGGTATGTGGCAAAAGGGCAATACAAATCACAGAAAAAAAATCAACACACCATCAACACCTAGGAATTTACATTTTTATTACCCTACTTTTCTAGTTGATGTCAATGTTTTTTCATAGACATCCAACAAATGAATTCATGGAGTTTTCATACATAGTGATAACAGTATCTATGGGATACAGGGGAAAGCATAAGAAAAGGGATAAAATATGGCTATTGTGAATTGTTGCATGGTTAATTCTGGGAACATGGAGGAGAGAGAAGTTGAAAATAAAGTTGGAACAGCTGAGCCATGTAAAAAGGAGTCAGAATAAGCTGCAGCAGTTCTCTTCAGCTGTGGTGAGAGAAGGAGCTGGTTGGGTATTTCAGAAGGCGGCTGCTGGATTTGCAAGCCAGGCAAGAAGAGCAAGTGTGTAGCAGCCAGGAATGGGTCTCAGAGGGTTTGTTTTACAGAATGATATGGGGTTGGAAAGGACCTCTAGAGATCATTTAGTCCAACCCCCCTGCCAGAGCAGGTCTACCTAGAGCAGGTTGCGCAGGAACTTGTCCAGGTGGGTTTTGAATGTCTCCAGAGAAGGAGACTCCACCACCTCCCTGGGCAGCTTATTCCAGGGCTCTGCCACCCTCAAAGTAAAGAAGTTCCTCCTCATGCTTAGGTGGAACTTCTTACATTCAAGTTTGTGCCCATTTCCTCGTCTTATCCCTGGGCATCACTGAAGAAAGACTGGCCCCATCCTCTTGACGCCCTCCCTTTAAGCATTGATTAGATCCCCCTTCAGCCTTCTCTTTTCCAGACTAAAAAGACCCAAATCCCTCAACCCCTCAGAGGTCGCTCAAGGGTCCTTCCCCTCAGAGGTCGCTTAAGGGTCCTTCCCTCATCAAACAGCCTTGTTTGATGCAGAGGACCTGCAAACGCAGTGAATGATGAGCTACACCTGCTCCTTATTATGTTAATTACTAATCCCTGTGCTCTTAAGCACTCGCCCATCACCTGCACGGTCCGAGCTGGACTTTCCTTCAACCTCCTGCCGGCGTGACACCACCCACGACAGCGGGGCTGCAGAGCCCTTTCAGGTGAGCTCCAGCCCCTCTTTGCCCCGTGGAGCCGCAAAGCTTTCCTCCGGCCCGGGCCCGACCCCAGGCCACCCCGGCCCGACCGGGGAAAAATAAGGGGGGGACGGGCGGTGTCGGCGGGGCGGGCGGGCGATGGCGGGGAGGCCTCGTCCCTCAGGTGCTGCAGGGCGGCGCGGAGCCGCCTCCCCCCGTCCCCTCAGCCCCAGGCCACCCCGGCCCGACCCGAGGCCACCCCGGCCCCTGCGGGCGGTGTCGGCGGGGCGGGCGGGCGATGGC